ACACACACACACACACACACACACACACACACACACACACACACACACACACACACACACACACAAACACACACGCACCCACACCCACACCCACACACCCACACACCCACACACACCCACACACACGGGAAAATCATCACATTTTACACACGCACAACGCCCGTCTAAGAGGTGGTCGCGCTATGTAGCTTACCGTTCTTCAAATGCATTAAGAGTGTGACCACCTCTTCGATAACTCTCTCTCTCTATCTTTCTCTCTCGTGCGAGGTTAAAGACCCCCCTCCTTCGAAAAGATGGTCATGCTCATTTTGACAAACGCGGATTAAGTACCTCGAGAGCGCGAGTGTCTCTCTCTCTCTAAAATGCATTTAGTTTTACAAACCTTATGAGCAACTTGGGCAACACTCATCGGTCTACATAGACTCGACGGACAAAGTTTTGATGGAAGTACTGCGTCAAACACAGAGGCGAGATACGCAAACTTAAAAGGAATTGAGGAATCAAAACTCAATGCCGACTTTCGCTAAGTTTCTCGCAGAATACCATCCATGTTTTCACGTGCACGATGATGCAATTGCCAAACACCTGTCGAACATGTGATATCAATGATGAGCATAACACGGTTAAACAAATTAAAAGCGCGACCATCTCTTCGACAAGTTAGTAGTATTCTATATTTTTTTCGTACACACATGTTGAGACACGTAATTGGATGACGTGCACTATTTTGCAACTTATAAGAGTATATCGTCATATCATATTCATAAACAAGATCTTGAAATTTATTGGTTGATTCATGCATATTATCAACGTTTCAGCAACATTTCACTTTGTTATTCCAATATTATCGATATGTAAAAAACGATGTTCGCACACTCATAGCAACGTTGAATAAATGATAATGCAAGTTGAAAACATATATTTTGTGGCAACGTTTATATAAACGTTGCTGTTTAACATTAACGTTGCCAAAACCCGAAAGTCAACACAATGTTTTTTCTGTTGCACAAGCGCGGTCAACATGACAGAGTCTGTGGACGGAGGGCGAATATCGTATGAGAAGCTGAAGAACATCATCGATTGCATGAGGCTTTTGCTCGCAGCTACGATGTGGCTTATGCGAATGGCTGGGGATGATCTTCGTGCCCACTTCGTCGCGTCCCTGTTCTTCCAGCTCATAGCAAAGCCCACACTTGTTGCGTCAATGCATCGGTTGTTCAACGAGCCGTCACATCATTCAGGCAGTCTCCGTCGTCACTGAGCGGATGGGAAAGCCCGCGATGAAGTTGGTGGACCCTCCTCGGTACATCCCCGATCGGGCATCATGTGGCGTATCCTTCCAACCGTCGTCTACGCATGCCAAACGCCTGGACTGGTTGGGGACTGGACCCCCGAAAGACGAACGAGATGAGGTGGAGAATGCGGCTGAATGTGCGGACGACGATTGATTCGCGTGCGTGGCACGCGGAAAGACGACGACAACGGTAAGGACGTGGTGAGACGAAGAAGATGACGCGGCGGCGGAAGGATGGTGGGAAGACAAGGATGAAGACGCCGAAGACCAAGCACAAGACGCGGCGACGACGGCAGAAGACGCGGCGAGACGAAGGAGACGGAAGGACGACGGGAAATGATGGTGGAGGGTGGCCTGTGGATCCTCGTCTCGCTGATAGGTTGTGGATCGTCTTGTCGATGGCCAGGGGGTTGCTTGATTGTGTGGTGCGTGGCACGTGGCGACGGGATGGCAACATGGGCATGTGTGCGAGCGGATATCAAGTTGCACGTGGCGAGACGACGACAATGAAAGGACGGCGGTAAATGATGCCAGTGGGTTGGCTATGTTTTTTCTTGTCGTGGATATGATGTGGATCGTCGTGTTGGCGGGCGGGGGTAGAGTGCTTGTGTGCGGTGCGCGGCGAGAAGGCTGTGGATTGTCATCTAAGTGGTGATGGTTATCCGTTCGTGTCGTTGTCTTGTAGTGCGCCTTCGTTCATTGCCTTGTGAGGCGATGCTTTTGCCTGGTCAGCGGGATTGCAGACGGGAAAGATAGTGGGTGGTGTCGTTGCCTTCGTTTTCCGCCACGACTAATGTAACTTGTTTACGGAACGGAGTCGGTGATCGCTGGCGAAACGACGATCACCTTTGTATGTGAAATTGATGGTGTTTAATACCGCCGGTGTGGTGCATCCCTGGTGTGTCGTTTTCCCAATCTTGCATTCGTAGACGACCTTTTCCTGAAATGATGGCATGATTAGCCTCTCGTTTTTCATTGTTTATTACTTCGATTTCGTTACATGCATGGAGTGCATTTTGAAATGACTTTGTTTTCGTTGTTTGTTATCGTTTTCGTTGTTTGTTATTGTTTTCTTTTTCGTTGCATGCATTGACTCAAAGATTTGAACACCTGTCGTCATTCAATAACAACCTGTCGTCAGAATGGTTGCATGCAGTATGTCGGAATGAAACGAAACACAGGCGCACCCGTCACACACACACATCCACTCAAAATGATTGCATGCACACCGTCGGAAGCAAGTCGAACACAGGTGCACCAAAGACACACACGTACTCGCGAAGAAGACGACTGTTAACCTCCCAAAAAGTACATCAACAAATCCATTGCGAACGTATTGCGGACTGAATAGAAGCGGGCGTGAAGCCCAGTAAAAAAAAAAAAAGAACCGTGGGGAAGGGAAACCCCTACGCATGTCTGGGTCTGCATAATAACACCGACGGAATTGTAAGAACAACATGAAACTACTGCGCCCAAAGATCGACTGTGACGTGTCAAACCCCCAACCCGAGTGGTTAGGACTGCAACATCACCAATACTGGCGTCTACGTCGATAACGAACACTCGAAAAACTACCGACTCATCATCTGGTAACTGACAACTGATCTACGGAGAACCGCAGACTCCATCCGAGACTCAACGTGACGACACAGCGAAGCCAACACAAAACACTAGGAAGTTGAATCCTCTCCACTGCCCACTCTCCCGCTCTCAGAACTCGCGTTGTCCACCTGTGCTGCGGGTGCGACGTGGACATCCACCGCCGACCGTCTTTAACGGACACTCATCCGCTCTGCCAGCGCATCCCTTAGAATCAACGCATCCCCCGTCGAACTGTCCATGCACACGGGCGGACCTGGGGGGCGTTGGATCCCCAGATCCACACGCCGCTGAACTCTGTTGGCGTCCACCTCCCAAAGCAAATTGTCGTCAAAGGGGATGCCGACATCGATGAGAATGTTGTGCAAAATGCACACGGCGGCGAACTGCTGCGGCAACGTCTCCATATTTGTCTTGTGCGATCGCAGGAACAACCTCCACATACCCTTCAGCCTCCCAAAAGTCCTCTCCACTGCCCACCTCGCGGTCTTCTGCTTGTTGTCGAACCGCAACTCGGACGACTGCTGACTGGTTCCACCATAGGGAACGACTATCCATTCCGAGGACGGGTACCCATTGTCACCTAGCAGATAGCCACTTGTCTGCACTTGGAAGGGGAGCATCACAGGCGGCCCCGTGAACAGCTCCCCGGGCTCCGCACGCGCCCAAAGACTAGAGAGGTGAATGACCCTGACGTCGTGATAGCTTCCCAGATATCCAACGAAAACATCCATCACACGTAAGTCGAGATCGACAACGACCTGCGCGACGACTGAGAAACGTCGTTTCTTGTCGAAGTAGTCTTCACCAGGTGCGTTCGTCGACTTGTCGATGTAGATATGCGTGCAGTCGATACAGTCGTGGCAGTTAGGGAACCCCTTCTCAACGAAAGCACGCAGAACGACCGCCTGTCGCACCCCAGTCGGCCACGACACCTTCTCCCGGTAGACTGCCAACAGCGCCGCAGTGACGTCCCGCACCGCCACCACACCTGTAGCTCTGCCAATGCTGAAGTTGCACATGCTGCTCTCGTACGTCTCCCCGGACGCTCATCTGTTACAATGCGTACGCCACGATGTGGTCTGGCTGCAACGGCTCCCTATAGAACGTCACACGGCGCTGCAAAAATGGCAATAGGTTTTCCGTAATCTCGCGGAAGACACACGGCGACATACGTAGCTTATCGTGGAAGTACTCTTCTGTGTCGTCGTCCGCAGGCCGCAGATCCTCCCACGTCCCCCCCTTCCTCCTTTTCACCCACCACCTGGGCGTGGCTTTAGGCATACCGCCACAACCCATGGTGCAACACACCTGGAAGACGGCTTCACAGATGGCAGCGGTGTTCAGCCCTGCAACCGGCAGCGCCTGCATCGCCTTCCTCCTCCGTGCGCGAAGCTGCGCCTTCAATCTCCCTGCACTGCGTTCCATCTGGCAGCGCATAAGCACAACGGTAACGGCCGTGGCAACCGCCGCCCTTTCGGCTGTTGACAGCTTTGAACAGTTGTCGGCGGCGACATTCCCCATCGCTGCACACGGCGCAGAAGACATCGCCTTCAACAACTGCCAACAGATTTCGGCGACACACCAACACACAACGGAAACGTGATGCATGACGACCACGGGGATGGTGCGACGAAGGACGCCGTGAGAACTCGCAGGACACTACTTGATTATCTGCGCACTGACGCGAGGACAAGCTCCGAGATGACGTCTTGTCCACTTTCCCCGTCTCAACTGTGATGGCGGAACGGTTGTCCACGCACCGCCCCAGCCCGACCGTTGTCAACCGATGTCCACGATGACGTTGTCCATCGCCCGCCGCAGGCCCCACCCGATACTCCTACACCACGCCACCCACTTTTGAAATTCAAATTTCGAAACCGGAGGCCCGCGCACCCGAATTTTCAAATCGGGGATTGGGTACTTGGCTGGTCACGCCATCCACAAATTGTGCAAGAACTTTTGTGAACGAATTTTTTGAAGAAAATGCAAAGAAACAAAAAGGGCATTTGCGGTCACCTCCAGAGGTGACCGCAAAATCGCGTGCCTCGCGGCTTCCCAGGCCGCTGACAAATGGGCACATGAGTAGTACATTTGCGAATTTGGTAGATCCGTGTGACCGGTCTTTTCCCCCTTTTTTTGGGATTTTGGGAAATAGGTTCCCATGTGAGTATGCCCTCATAATAAATTCCCCCCCCCTGACACAAAGGAGCCGCGACTGACACAAATGATGACCGCATAAACTTGTCTGAAATGATGACCGCATGCAAATTTTATGGATGAGTTACACAGGGACCGCCCGAGAGAGAGAGAGAGACTCCGAGAGAGAGAGAGAGAGAGAGAGAGAGAGAGAGAGAGAGAGAGAGAGAGAGAGAGAGAGAGAGAGAGAGAGAGAGAGAGAGAGAGAGAG